TTTTCCGTTCGAACAATTTTCCATCCGAACAATTTTCCATTCGAACAATTTTCTATTCTAATAATTTTCCGTTTGAAAAATTTTCTTTCGAACAATTTTTTCGAACAATTTTCCATTGGCGCTCCGAAATATTTGATTACATTCCGGAATTTTGAAAAAAATAAATAAAAATAATAATAATAAGAACGTTACTTACTTTTTGAATAAAATTGAAGTAAAAATATGATTTAAAAGAAAAAGTATCCATCTTCTATCTCATCATCCAACATAGAGATACACAGTCAAACTTACAGAAACTCCTTACTAATTATTAATCTATATACCGGGTGTTTTTCAAAACCCGCTCACCCCTATAACTTTTTTAATTTTCCAGATAAACAAATGAAGTTTGGTGTGTTTATTTATGACCCGGATGTGCATTATTTGACGTATTTAATTTTTTACTATCACTTCCGGTTTGACCGGAAGTGACCCTAACTTACTTATTTTAAATGAGACGCTAGGAATATTTTTCCTCATTTTAATAGAAAACTACATTACGAGTACAATGACACCTCATTTGTCACTTTTTGACATTTCATCACCAAATTATTTAAATTTTTACTTTTTAATCTAGAGCACCATGAATAAGTCAATATGCTTAATTTGGCTCCTAGGAACATGGGAAAATTTGTTTTGATCCTATTTTGTATTTTATATCCTCTACAGACTCATTTGAAGATAGTAGAAGCGCATTTTTAGAATTATATCAGTTTTTTCAAATGGAAAGGGTATGGCTCATGAGCATGTTCCAAAAGAGCGTTTTCTAACGAGCAATTCAGTACCACACAATCGCTAGTTCATCACTCAAATTAAGAATTTTTCTAGCATTCTAAATATTTTTGGAAAATTTTAGTTCAATATTTGAATAAACTAGCGATTGTGTGGTACTGAATTGTTTGTTAGAAAATGCTCTCTCGAAATATGCTAATGAGCCATACCCTTTCCATTTGAAAAAATTGATATAATTCCAAAAATGCGCTGCTACTAACTTTAAATGAGCCTTTAGAGGATATAAAGTTCAAAATAAGCTCAAAACAAATTTTCCCATGTTTCTAGGAGCAGAATTAAGCATTTTAACTTATTCATGGCGCTCTAGATTAAAAAGTAAAAATTTAAATAATTTAAAGGTGAAATGTCAAAAAGTGACAAATGAGGTGTCATTGTACTCGTAATGTAGTTTTCTATTGAAATGAGGAAAAATTTACCAGGCGTCTCATTTAAAATAAGGAAGTTAGGGTCAAACCGGAATTGATAGTAAAAAATTGAATACGTCAAATAATGCACATCCGGGTCATAAATAAACACACCAAATTTCATTTGTTTATTTGAAAAAATAAAAAAGTTATAGGGGTGAGCGGGTTTTGAAAAACACCCGGTATAATAATAAGTTTTCAGGGAGGTTGGAGCAATACCTACCATTTTCAATGACATCATGAATTGAATATCGTATCATTAGGCGGCTTCTTGAATCGGAAAGGCTGATTTGGTTTGTCAAGATGTGTTAGAAAAATTGTGATGGCTAAATCAGCTTATCTGACTTGAGACACTTAATCAGTGCACAATTGATATCTGCACTCTTTTATCTTTGCATTGCTAAGATAATATATCACAGCTGAAGGCATAGTTGAAGGGATGATGACGGGTAAGGAGAACTTGAAAGCAACTGAAGCAATTATAAAAGAGGTCCTGACCAAAAAAGCAAAGGAGGAACACACGGGGTGTTATCATCTACTGAAGAAATAACACATGGGTATGGGAAACCGGGAAACGCGCACTTTGTTAACGAAATATAAGCATGCTCAACTGCTTCATCAAAGTTGAAAGACATGGGGAAGGGTTTAGTCGGTCGGCGATCCTCGGAAAAGGAAGCCAACCCGACACTACCTGTGCAACTGAGATGGCCATGAGCCAAGCCCAGGTGTCTGGAAAACAGATTCCTAATCCCATCAAAAAAAAAAAAAAAAAAAATGGAGATAGTGATTTGGTTTTTCAGGATGTGCTAGAAAGTTCTTGAATAAGTCATCATCCTTCAGATTAGTGCACTGATGTCTGTCCTCCTTTTACTTTACGTTGCTAGGATAATATCCGACAAGTGTATTTATTCACATGATTGCAACCACGAATAAACCGCTAGGGCTTTCGGGAACGAAATATTTGCATATAGAGCAGTAGAAGTACGCTAGGAGAAAAACACCCAAAAAAACCCATTGGGCATTCTCTGCTGAAACTCTTTGCGCTTGCAGCCCTTTTTTGAGTTGCTGTGGAGTCCATTCCTATGTAGAAACTTATATTACTTTCTGTCATAAACTCAGGCCATAATACAATGTCACGTTCTACAAAAATATTTCCACTTCAAGATAAATAAGGGTGATCAAATTAATAATGTCTCCGAAACCTTTCAATAAATTTCGGAATTTTACATACAAAATAGTAGGTAACTACTTTTTTATTTAAATTAAAGTAAAAATTTGTAACAAAAGAGTTATCCATCTTCTATCTCATCATCTGATATAGTGATATATAGTCAAACTTGCAGGAACTCCTTATCTAATTGATCCTTTCTGGATAATATTCGGTCTAAATTACTTTTCGGCAAGGTTGGAGTAGTACCTAACATTTTCAACGATATCATGAATGGAATAGCGTATCATCCAACTTCTTGAATTGGAAAGGATAATTTGGTTTTTCCCGATGTGTTGGAAAGTTCTGGCAGGACCAAATCAGTCTATCTGATGTGAGACCCTCAATCATCTTCCAGATTAGTGCATTGATGTCTAGTATACAGATTAGCAGAAGTACGCTAGGAGAATAACACCGGAAAAAACCTGTCGGGTATTTTCTGCTAGAACTCCTTGCACTTGCAGCACTTTTTTGAATTTCTGTGGAGTGTATTTTTATGCAGATAACTTTATGTCATAAACTCAGGCCATAATCCAATTTCATTTTCAACGCAACTTCTTCCACTTCAAGATAGAGCAGGCTGATCGAATTGGTAATGTCTCCGAAACCTTTAATATTTCGTAGTTTTGAAAAAAAAAATATACATTAATAAGAACGGTTCCTAATTTGTGATTAAAATTGAAGTAAAAATATGGTTTAAAAAAAATATATCCATCTTCTATCTCATCATATAACATGGGGATATAAATTCAAACTCACAGAAAATTCTTACTATTTGGTCCTATCTACATAACATTCGATTTAAATTAGTTTTCAGCAAGGTTGGAGCAGAAACTACCGTTTTCAATGACATCATGAATGGAATAGCGTATCATCTAGGTACAGGCTTCTTGAATTGGAGAGGGTGATTTCGTTTTCCTGGATGTGTTAGAAAGTTCTAGGTAAACCTAATCACTCTATCTGATTTGAGACTTCCAATCATCTTCTAGATTAGTGCACTGATTGTCCTGTTTTTACTTTGCAATGCTAAGATAATATCCGAAAAGTGTATTTATTTACAGGAATCCAAACATGAATAAACCGCTGCCGCGTTTGGGAAAAAAGTTTGCATATAGAGCAGTAGACGTACGATAGGAGGAAAAAAACCTATTCGGCATTTTCTGCTAAAACTCCTCGCGGTTGCAGTTCATTCCTTCCTACGCAGAAATCTATAATACTTTCTATCATAAACTCGGGCGATAATTCAATGTCATTTAACGCAACTATTTCCACTTCAGGATAAAACAGGGCGATCGAATTGGTAATTTCTCCGAAACCCTTGATTAAAAAAACAAAAAAAAACACAAGAATGGTAGGTAACTACTTTTTTATTAAAATTAGAGTGAAAATCAGATTGGAAAAAAGTTATCCATCTTCCATCTCATCATCTAACATAGTGATATATACTTACAGAAACTCCTTACTAATTGATTCTTTCCAGATAAAATTCGGCCTAAATTAGATTTCAGCAAGGTTCGAGCAGTATACTTACTGCTTTCAATGACATCGTGAATGGAATAGCATATCATCTAGGTACTCGCTTCTTAAATTGGAAAGGGTGATTTGGTTTTTTTAGATGTGCTAGAAAGTTCTAAAATCGCCAAATTATTCTATCTGATTTGAGACCCTCAATCATCTTCCAGATTAGTGCACTGATGTCTGCCCACCTTTTTACATGGATCTTTTAGATAATATCCGACAGTAAGTCTGCAATATTAATTTTCAATTGTACTTGCGGATTACCTATATTAAAAAGGCTTTGATATTATATATTTTCAAATTACAGTTTCGCAAAAAATTGTTTCATTTAAATACGAAATCGTCCTAAAAAATAAAAATCAAGGAAAAAAAATTAATTATCCATTCGAACAATTTTTCATTCGAACAATTTTCCGTTCGAATAACTTTCGGTTCAAATAATTTTCTTTCGAACAATTATTATTTTCGAACAATTTTCCGTTGGCGCTCTGAAACATTTGATTACATTTCGGAATTTTGAAAAAAAAAAATAATAATAATAATAGGAACGTTACTTACTTTTTGATTAAAATTGATGTAAAAATATGATTTAAGAAAAAATATATCCATCTTCTATCTCATCATATAACATGGGGATATAAATTCAAACTCACAGAAAATTCTTACTATTTGGTCCTATCTACATAACATTCGATTTAAATTAGTTTTCAGCAAGGTTGGAGCAGAAACTACCGTTTTCAATGACATCATGAATGGAATAGCGTATCATCTAGGTACAGGCTTCTTGAATTGGAGAGGGTGATTTCGTTTTCCTGGATGTGTTAGAAAGTTCTAGGTAAACCTAATCACTCTACCTGATTTGAGACTTCCAATCATCTTCTAGATTAGTGCACTGATTGTCCTGTTTTTACTTTGCAATGCTAAGATAATATCCGAAAAGTGTATTTATTTACAGGAATCCAAACATGAATAAACCGCTGCCGCGTTTGGGAAAAAAGTTTGCATATAGAGCAGTAGACGTACGATAGGAGGAAAAAAACCTATTCGGCATTTTCTGCTAAAACTCCTCGCGGTTGCAGTTCATTCCTTCCTACGCAGAAATCTATAATACTTTCTATCATAAACTCGGGCGATAATTCAATGTCATTTAACGCAACTATTTCCACTTCAGGATAAAACAGGGCGATCGAATTGGTAATTTCTCCGAAACCCTTGATTAAAAAAACAAAAAAAAAAAAAAACACAAGAATGGTAGGTAACTACTTTTTTATTAAAATTAGAGTGAAAATCAGATTGGAAAAAAGTTATCCATCTTCCATCTCATCATCTAACATAGTGATATATACTTACAGAAACTCCTTACTAATTGATTCTTTCCAGATAAAATTCGGCCTAAATTAGATTTCAGCAAGGTTCGAGCAGTATACTTACTGCTTTCAATGACATCGTGAATGGAATAGCATATCATCTAGGTACTCGCTTCTTAAATTGGAAAGGGTGATTTGGTTTTTTTAGATGTGCTAGAAAGTTCTAAAATCGCCAAATTATTCTATCTAATTTGAGACCCTCAATCATCTTCCAGATTAGTGCACTGATGTCTGCCCACCTTTTTACATGGATCTTTTAGATAATATCCGACAGTAAGTCTGCAATATTAATTTTCAATTGTACTTGCGGATTACCTATATTATAAAGGCTTTGATATTATTTATTTTCAAATTACAGTTTCGCAAAAAATTGTTTCATTTAAATACGAAATCGTCCTAAAAAATAAAAATCAAGGAAAAAAAATTAATTATCCATTCGAACAATTTTTCATTCGAACAATTTTCCGTTCGAATAACTTTCGGTTCAAATAATTTTCTTTCGAACAATTATTATTTTCGAACAATTTTCCGTTGGCGCTCTGAAACATTTGATTACATTTCGGAATTTTGAAAAAAAAAATAATATTAATAATAGGAACGTTACTTACTTTTTGATTAAAATTGATGTAAAAATATGATTTAAGAAAAAATATATCCATCTTCTATCTCATCATATAACATGGGGATATAAATTCAAACTCACAGAAAATTCTTACTATTTGGTCCTATCTACATAACATTCGATTTAAATTAGTTTTCAGCAAGGTTGGAGCAGAAACTACCGTTTTCAATGACATCATGAATGGAATAGCGTATCATCTAGGTACAGGCTTCTTGAATTGGAGAGGGTGATTTCGTTTTCCTGGATGTGTTAGAAAGTTCTAGGTAAACCTAATCACTCTGTCTGATTTGAGACTTCCAATCATCTTCTAGATTAGTGCACTGATTGTCCTGTTTTTACTTTGCAATGCTAAGATAATATCCGAAAAGTGTATTTATTTACAGGAATCCAAACATGAATAAACCGCTGCCGCGTTTGGGAAAAAAGTTTGCATATAGAGCAGTAGACGTACGATAGGAGGAAAAAAACCTATTCGGCATTTTCTGCTAAAACTCCTCGCGGTTGCAGTTCATTCCTTCCTACGCAGAAATCTATAATACTTTCTATCATAAACTCGGGCGATAATTCAATGTCATTTAACGCAACTATTTCCACTTCAGGATAAAACAGGGCGATCGAATTGGTAATTTCTCCGAAACCCCGATAAGCGATCGCACTCGCCGTGCAAAACAAAGGGAACATGCCTACCTACTTTTCGAAGAAAAACCGGCAGTCACACATAGACATCACTTTTGTCACACTCAAGCTTTCAGCCGTGACTGCAAACTAGAGCATACTCGGTTCTTGAGCTAACCAAATGAGCTTATCTGACTTAAGACACTTGATCAGTGCACCACTGATATCTGTCTTCTTTTTACTTTGCATTGCTAAGATAATATATCACAACAGCTGAAGGCATAGTTGAAGGGTTGATGACTATTAAGGAGAACTGGAAAGCAACTCAAGAAATTATTAAAGAGGTCCTGACCAAAAAAGCAAAGGAGGAACACACGGGTCGATTGTGTTATCATCTACTGAAGAAACAACACATGTGTATGGGAAACCGGGAAACGCGCACTCTGCCAACGAAGCATAAGCATGCTCAACTGCTCATCAAAGTTGAAAGACATGGGGGAGGGTTTAGTCGGTCAGCGATCCTCAGAAAAGGAAGCCAACCCGACACTACCTTCGCAACTAAGATCGCCATGAGCCAAGCCCAGGTGTCTGGAAAACAGATTCCTAATCCCATGAAAAAAAAAAGTCGCGTGCAGCACAGTACACGTGATAGAAGTGAATACTTACTCTCTCTCCCTCATATTCATCATATGCTTCAACTCACTTGCGAGACGAAAATTTTATAAATCGTGTCGTGACGCGACCTTGATGCCAAATAGGTTTGGCATTTTCTGCTAAAACTCCTCGCGGTTGCAGTTCATTTCTTCCTACGTAGAAATCTGTATTACTTTCTGTTATAAACTCGGGCGATAATTCAATGTCATTTAACGCAACTATTTCCACTTCAGGATAAAACAGGGCGATCAAATTGGTGATCTCTCCGAAACCCTTGATTGAATATCGGAATTACCAAAAAAAAAAAAAAACAAGAATGGTTGGTACCTACTTTTTTGTTAAAATAAGAGTAAAAATCAGATTGGAAAAAAGTTATCCCCCTTCCATCTCATCATCTAACATAGTGATATATACTTACAGAAACTCCTTACTAATTGATTCTTTCCAGATAACATTCGGCCTAAATTAGATTTCAGCAAGGTTGGAGCAGTACTTACTGCTTTCGATGATCTCGTGAATGGAATAGCGCATCATCTAGGTATTCGCTTCTTAAATTGGAAAGGGTGATTTGGTTTTTTTAGATGTGCTAGAAAGTTCTAAAGAGGCTAAATTATTCTATCTGATTTGAGACTCTCAATCATCTTCCAGATTAGTGCACTGATGTCTGCCCACCTTTTTACTTGGATCTTCTAGATAATATCCGATGTATTTATTTACATGAATCCAACCATGAATAAACCGTTAGCGCGTTCAGGAAAAAAATTTGCACACAGAGCAGTAGAGATACGCTAGGAGGAAAACAGGTTATTATCGGTAAGTCTGCAATATTACTTTTTAACTGTATGTACTTTCGGATTTCTTATATAAAAGCTTTGATATTATTTATTTTCAAATTGCAGATTCGAAAAAAATTGTTTCATCCAAATACGAAATCGTCCTAAAAAATAAAAATCAAGGCAAAAAAATAAATTATCCATCCAGAAACTCTCGTTTTCAATGACATTATGAATGGAATAGCGTATCATCTAGGTAAATACTTCTTGAATTGGAGAGGGTGATTTCGTTTTCCTGGATGTGTTAGAAAGTTCTAGGATACGCAAATCTCTCTGTCTGATTTGAGACCCCCAATCATCTTCTAGATTAATTGAATGTCCTCTTTTAACTTTGCAATGGTAAGATAATATCCGAAAAGTGTATTTATTTACAGGAATCCAACCATGAATAAATCGCTAGCGCGTTTGGGAAGCAAGTATGCATACAGAGCAGTAGACATACGCTAGGAGAAAAAAAAACGAAAAAATCCTAATTGGCATTTTCTACTAAAACTCCTTGCGCTTGCAATTCATTCCTTCCTACGCAGAAATCTATAATACTTTATATCATAAACTCGGGCGATAATTCAATGTCATTTAACGCAACTATTTCCACTTCAGGATCGAATTGGTGATGTCTCCGAAACCCTCGATTGAATTTCGGAATTAAAAAAAAAAAAACAAGAATGGTACCTACCTTTTTATTTAAATTAGAGTGAAAATTAGATTGGCAAAAAAGTTATCTATCATCCATCTCATCATCTAACACAACAGTGATATATACTTACAGAAACTCCTTCCTAATTGATCCTTTCCAGATAACATTCGGCCCAAATTGGTTTTCAGCAAGATTGGAGCAGTAGGTACTTACTACTTCCAATGACATCGTGAATGGCATAGCGTATCATCTAGGTACTGGCTTCTTGCATTGGACAGGGTGATTTGGTTTTCCAGAATGTGCTAGAAAGTTTTGTGATGACCAAATTATTCTATCTGATTTGAGACCCTGAATCATCTTCCAGATTAGTGCACTGATGTCGGCCCACCTTTTACTTGGATCTTTTAGATATTATCCGACAAATGAATAAACCGTTAGCCGTTGACCAATGTCACTTTCAACACAACTATTTCCACATCAAGATAAAGAAGGGTGATCGAATTGGTAATGTCCCCGAAACCTCTGATCAAATTTCGGAATTTTCACATGACAACTTGACATTTGACGTTAAAAAAACCATAGCAATCTTTGTTTTCAGCAAGGTTGGAGCAGTATCTACCATTTTCAATGACATCATAAGTGAAATAGCGCGTCATCTGAGTACTGGCTTCTTGAATTGGAAAGACTGATTTGCTTCTTCAGGATGTGTTAGAAAATTCTGGGAGGACCAAATCAGTCTATCTGATTTTAGACCCTCAACCATCTTGCGCTTGCAAGTGTGCGCCACTTTTTTGAGAAGCTGAGGTCTATTTTTATGCAGAAATATATAAAACTTTCTGTACATAAAATCGAATATCATTATCCAGTTCAAGATAAAGCAGATGAGGGAGAAATCGATAGAACTTGGTATGCCTCGGAATCCTCTAATTATGAAATAAGAATGGTAATTTGGTCTGAATTTTTTAATTCATGTCTAAACTGTATTAATTTCGTCTTGCAGATGATATGGTCCTCATTTCAGGCAGACTTGGACAGTCAAAGACACAAGACAGTGTAGGCTGACTTCCCGCTTCCGATTTCCGTTCCAGACTGTTGGCGTCCTATGAAGGGCTGGCTTCCTGCTGCGTGAGATCCTCAATCCCCTAATTCAGGAAGAACGGCCTAGCTGCAGTAGAAAATGTAGGAATGGTAGACTAGAATCCTGGATTGGCTTCGCAAGCTGGGTGGACTTCTCCTTAACAGGCGTCTCTCTGGCTGAGAAATCGGTGAGGGCTTTCAGCTGCGCGAGTGCCGCAATCCCTAATTAGTTCAGAAGAGAGGATTTTCGCACAAGTAGGTCTGTTATGGCGGGTAACTGTCGCTTGGGACTCTGTAGCAGCCTCTCTCGTGCGGTAGAAAGGCTTCGTGAGAGTCCTGGATGGTCTGGCTGGTATGTGCTCTGGCATTCAGGAAGCAGGTGGTGTTCAACTTATTGATGTGCTCAGGTAATGTCTCTAGTTCGTAGTCTTGCTATAAAGTGTCATCGCTGTATATTAGGTTGATATACCTACATATGTATACAGTGAGTTGATAAAGTCCCGCATAAATTCATTATTTTGAAAACGGTAGAATTTTTGAAAAATCGCTCAGACACGTCAATTTTGTTTTTTGTTTGAAGTTTTCCAATATATTTTTTATCATACATACATTCAAAAATAGCTTCGCTGGTATTTTTATTTTTTTAAATGGTTCCTCCTATATATTATGACATTTCTGTATTCTGCGGAAAATTCTAGACATATTTCATGTACAATGTCATATACCTATCTTCAACTGTTTCGAAAATATTGACAGTTAAAAATTGACCTTTTTGCATCTTTGACAGACTGTAAAACCTAAGCGGTTGATTTCACAGGAAAACCCATCTTACATTCTTATCTTAGATTTTTATAAATTATCATTTGACACTAACTTTAAATTAAATCCATGATTAAAAATTCCGTCAGCCGGTCAAAGTTGCGAAAAAGTCAATTTTTAACTGTCAATATTTCCGAAACAGTTGAAGATAGGTATATGACATTGTACATGAAATAAGTCTAAAATTTTCCGCAGAATCCAGAAATCTCATAATATATAGGGGGTACCACTTAAAAAAATAAAGTTGATACCAGCGAAGCTATTTCTGAGACACCCTGTATAATAAAAAATATATCGAAAAATTTCAAACAAAAAAACAAAATTGAAATGTCTGAGCGATTTTTCGAAAATTCTACCGTTTCCAAAATAATGAATTTATGCGCGACTTTATGAACTCACTGTATATCCATATTTTAAAAACCTGACGACGAATTGAAGAAATTGGAAAGCTTGTCGAAACATAAAAGAGTACTTTTTTGAGCGTATAATTATATTTTCCAACAAAAACAAAAAAACAGTATTGTAATTCTTGACATATACAGGGTGAGTTACTAAGCGCGCGGTCGTCCATATCTCCTATACTAACGAAGATCGAAGAAAAAACTAAATAAAAAATTTGTAGATAAATATGATTACTACATTCCTAAATTATTTTCCAGTATACAAGGTGGCCCAATAAGTAGTGGTGATACAAAGTTATGTTTTTTTTTTTTAAATGACTCTCCCTGTATATTATGACATTTATGGATTCTGTGGAAAATTCTAGACATATTTCATGGATAATGTCATATACCTATTTTCAACTGTTTCGGGAATAGTGACAGTTCAAAATTGACTTTTTTGCGTCTTTGACAAACTGTAAAACCTTAACGAAAGTCAATTTTCAACTCTCAATATTTCCGAAACAATTGAAGATAGGTAGGTATATGACATTGTACACAAAATATGTCTAGAATTGTCCACAGATTCCAGAAATGTCATAATATAGAGGGGGAGTTATTTAAAAAAATATACCTTTGTGTCACCACTACTTATTGGGCCACCCTGTATACTAAAAAATAATTTAGGAATGTAGTACTCATGTTTATCTACAAGTTTTATTTTTTTTAAGTTTTTTCTTCGATCTCCGTTAATATAGGAGATATGGACCACCGCGCGCTTAGTAACTCACCCTGTATATACTATAAGTAGGGACCTATACCGGTCTGGCAAGTGAACATCTTACATGCCAATTTAAATGCAATGGAATGAAATATCTAGCAAAAGTCTAAGGTTGGATAGAGAACGAAAACGATTTCCCTTGTTCTACCTCCAGCATTCCCAGCGGTTTTTGCTGGAGGTAGAACAGGGGAAATCGTTTTCGTTCTCTATTTAACCTTAGACTTTTCCTATACATTTCATTCTATTGCATTAAAATTGGCCTGTAAGATGCCGACTTGCCAGACCTGTATAGAATTATTTCCCATCAAAAGTTCTGCATGGCCTAAAACCTTAAATACAACCATGAGATATCAAAATTTCGCAGTCATATACGAGGTGTGACATTACTTGAATTATTATCATGACTGATTTATAAAGCTACTTGCATGAAAGTCACTGGGCTCTATAAAATGTGCAACATGCTCTCCTAAATAGTGTACAGCGTGTCCCAAATTCGAGGGTGACCATTGAGGTATCAGAAACTATTAGAGATACGTGGTTGGTTGAATTATGGAAAAGTTGCGCAATTTTAGGACCAATAAAATGCCGTTTTGGAATTGGAAAAATTTCGAATACTTACGAAGATATTCGGAAAAAACCGAAATTTTGCAAAATAATTTTTTTATGAAGTGACATTTATTTTAAAATTGCTCTTCAAATAGACTCAGGAAAAAATAAATATAATTTTACAAAATTTCGGTTTTCTCCGAATATCTTCGGAAGTATTCGGAATTTTTCAAATTTCAAAACGGCATTTTATTGGTCATAAAATTGCGCCACTTTGCCATAATTTAATCGACCCCGTATCTCTTATAATTTCCGATATCTCAATGGTCACCCTCGAATTTGAGACACCCTGTACACTATTTAGGAGAGCATGTTGCACATTTTATAGAGCCCAGTGAATTTCATGCAAGTAGCTTTATAAATCATTCATGATAATAATTCAAGCAATGTCACACCTCGTATATGACTGCGAAATTTCGATATCTCATGGTTGTATTTAAGGTTTTGGACCATGCAGAACTTTTAATGGTTTTTTTTTTTTTTTTAATTTGAAGGCTTATAACACAAAATATTTTTTTACCTCTGCACAGAAGGAACTTTCCGTTTCTACACCTCCAGTATTTGTTTCAACAACTACTTTGTTTTGAAGACACACACCGCCAATATTAAAATCTATAAATGAATTAATTATTTGCCGGAGTATGAATTTTTTCCACTAAAAAATATACCTGTGAATTTGAAAGCAACATTATAACCTTTGGGAACCATCACATTCCAAGTACATTCAATATCTTTCCTATAAAGGTTTGGGTACAAGGGACTAGAAAATTTTCCCATGTAGTTGAACATTTTTCCACCACAACCCTTACCATTTTCCGAAGACAGATATAAGAAATTATATTTGAAGTAAGAAGTAGATTTTTGTGAATTATACATGTGAATATAGAGTTTATTTGTGTTTGTAAAAACAGGACTAGGTAAGCGAAAACCGCAGGCTTTGAATAGTTGAAGTCCAGTGGAATTATTTTCTCCTACCTGAAATTAAGTGTTTTAATGTAATTTTATTAATACGTATAAATAAGTATGTTGTAGATACCTCCAAGCCAAGTTTGGAACAAGAATGGTCTGCAGTTATCAAAAAGAATGACGTAAAATATATTGATAAAGTCCTGTTCGGGTCTGCTGTGATTATTATTATACAATTTCATTCTGCACTATTCACTACATCATTTTGAATTCTTCCTCCATTTGCGTAAATTGTTCGGTTACAACCTGAAATATTTTTTGACAAGAAAATTTCAAAGATTGTTTTCAGAAAAAAAAGTTCAAATAGGTTGTGATTTGGTCCTCACGGATAATTATTGATATTCCCATAAATTTAGGGAATGAAAAATTTCAAATTCAAAACTCTTTGTAATTATATGTCTAGTACTTGAAAGATGTTATTGATTCCAATTTTCCTTATTCAAAGATTTTGTAAAATACTTAACTCTATAATGTTGAATGGATCAATCGAGGGAACAATTAAAATTAAATTGAAATATTTAGTTATGTCTAAGTAATTACATACTCTTATTGTATAGGTTAAGTAGCAAAAGGTCTAAGTTGGGGAAAGTTATTACCTGAATAGCCATATTTTAGTTTAAAACCTTTTCCTTTCGCACCAGTATATCTATGACTATGAAATGTTAATGTAATTTCATTTGAAGTTGAATAATAGTCGAAAGGTTTAGTTTCGTTGTCACAAAAAGCGTATTTAAATGTTTCCCGGACGCCCTAGAAACGAAATATTGCTAGTACTTCAGAGCCTTAACTTCTTACTCAGCAAATACCCTGTAGATTTGAATTTGTGTATTTTCAACTACAAATTCATTTCTAGAGGGGTATATGTAGAGTAATGTACATCATCGGAGAGAAGAGCCTAAAGCTATTCAGGACTGTCAAGGCTGAAAACTTAAGAAGCTAGATGGTAAGTAATTCATACTCACTCTAAAAATGTTTCCCGGACGCCCTAGAAACGAAATATTGCTAGTACTTCAGAGCCTTAACTTCTTACTCAGCAAATACCCTGTAGATTTGAATTTGTGTATTTTCAACTACAAATTCATTTCTAGAGGGGTATGTGTAGAGTAATGTACATCATCGGAGAGAAGAGCCTAAAGCTATTCAGGATTGTCTAGGCTGAAAACTTAAGAAGCTAGATGGTAAGTAATTCATACTCACTCTAAAAATGTTTTCCGGACGCCCTAGGAACGAAATATTGCTAGTACTTCAGAGCCTTAACTTCTTACTCAGCAAATACCCTGTAGATTTGAATTTGTGTATTTTCAACTACAAATTCATTTCTAGAGGGGTATATGTAGAGTAATGTACATCATCGGAGAGAAGAGCCTAAAGCTATTCAGGATTGTCAAGGCTGAAAACTTAAGAAGCTAGATGGTAAGTAATTCATACTCACTCTAAAAGCATTTTGAACTTAATGTTAGGCTCTTGGACCGAATCCTTCACTGATAATCAATCGATTCGGATCTTATGTCAGTTCCAATCTATCAGAATCGCATGTCTTTGCCAATGAATCACCAGAAATATCGATCTCTTTAAAATGTATCATAAATTTGGCTGTATTACTAAAGCTTCTAATCACCCAAGTGCATTTTATATTTTCTGGATAATTATTTGGGTAATCTGACGAAATTAACTCTTTCCATTCTTTTTCAGCGATCAGTTCTGATGGACCACATTTTGCTGAAATAATTTTGAACTTATACATTTCAATAATTTCACTGTCTAAAACTTAAACTGAACTGGTTTTATTGTGACCCTAAACATGTCATTTTGAGGAACAGCAGAATATAATCTTATGTATGCAGTATTCCATGAACTTGTAAATCTTTTTCTCTTATGGTTATCGCCACTGCAAAGTTTTGCCATCACATCAGCGAACGGTCCAGCTCCATCCCTTATCTGGTATTAAATAAAATCAGTTTTTTTTTTCTTTAATTAGCATTATACTCTACCTCTATATATGAGTAGGTGCAATAGTATGTATGATTTCTAACAGAATTTGAACAAGAAGTTGAAATTGAGATATCAGTGAATTCAATTTTGACCTCATTATCTTGAGAGGCTATAATTATCCAGTGACAATCCATATGGGGTAGATTGTTTGGTGAATTTATATACTTTGTTTCAGATAAATTTATTGTTCCTCCACATCCAACCGAAGGACCTAAAAAAAATGAAATAAATGTGGAATTTAAATGAACCTCATTATTAAAATTTGGTAAAAATGATGCGTATGACAGAAAATTGGTCACAAGTTCATAACAAATCCACCCAACCTACATTATGTGCTGGAGAAAATCCTCATAAATTAGGGTAAAATCGAGGGATGTTTCACCCTCTAAATTATTTGACTGCATTGATTGCATCGAAGATGATAGTTGAGTGCATTGACTTTTGCAATATCTAACAAGATTGCAGGCTCCACCTGCAGCAACTGCTTACGATGTTAATAATATGGAATATACGCTACTGCATGTGATTGCAGGGAATTTATAACGATTGCAAGTGACTGTATTATGACTGCATAAGTCCATGTATTCCATTGACTGCATGAGAATACTCAGGTAAATAGATTCTGAGGAAAGTTTTCTGAAAATGTGTAAATGGATGTTATTGGCTGCTATCAAATAGGGTCACTATGTTTTTTTTCCAAAAAACTTAAACTGAAAAATATGCACTGGCATGAAATTTTTAGTAAAGCATTCAAAAATATGATGCCCTGATAAGGCTCTCATCTTGAACAAGATGTAGGAACTAAATACAACTTTAACATTAACATCCACTTGCATTATTTTTACAGTTTCAAAAATTATATATGTCTATTCCAAACAGCGAAAAAATGATTAATCTTTCATTTCATAAATTATTAATAATGATTTGTGTGATGCTAACTGTGAAACATAATCCCAAATTATTGGAAAAAAGGCTTTTTATATAATAATTATGAATTTGAACAATATCAAGAGGCTGTTTTGAGGAAGTTACAAATTCCGCTTTATGCTGTTTCTGTAATCAGTGTGCTAGTTAAATTAATTTCGCCCTCGTATCTTTGACATCCACCACAGATAACACAGTGCTGGTATACTTTCAGTGATAATTCTGTTTTTTTAATTAAAGGATATAGGTACCTACATATTTGTCATATTTTATACGAGAAGCGGAAGGAATGAAGGCCTGAGGCGTATTTAAGTTCTCTGGCACTCATTCGTTTCACATCTATTTAAAAAATTATCAACATGCATCCTTTGGCGAATCCACTCCAGAAAAGTAGGAGAAAAGCTCCAATAACGTCCCGGCGCAAAGTGAAAATACAAAATTTGCTATTGGAAATAAAAATATACCCTTCGAACAAAATATTATGGTGGAGGAAGAATTGCTTGCAATAGCAAAGTGATACAAGTCCAGATATCCCAATTGTATCGTAGATGAAATGGATAAAAAACGGGAAATAATTTTTCGAAGTTTATTCCTTCCCCTCACCATTGAGAACTGAATCCCTTCGAGTTAATTTTGGCACAATTCAAGGGATGTGTTGAAAGAAGAAACACAACACAAATTAGAGATGTTGAAAAATTGTTTCACGAGGCAGTTCAAAAAGTAGATGCTGATAAGTGGCGGAAATGTATTAAGCACGCTCTTGGCATCGAGGAAAAGATAAATAAGTAAGGAAGAATCACCTATATAACAATTATTCTTAATAGGGTGTTCCAACTTTAATTTGTTTATTAGTCCCAACATAAGTTTTGTCTTATAAGTTTTGGTTAAAGATGTTTGTAAATGTAGGTACCGACTTTGAATTGAGCCTTCCATCCATCTGCGTCTTGGATTGTGATTGGGGATTTGGCTGGTATTAGTTGTATAGGAAAGTTCTTATATCAGTCTTATCCCCCTTTCTGGTCTAAGAGTAAGAAGAAGAACTGAAGAGTGCTGCAAGCCGGTCCTGTTTTTTCTATCTTCGTCGAAGTCAATATTCTTGCATCGCTCATAGTTTCCGAACAGAATTCCCTAGAAGTTTGTAGAATATTCCTGAAAATTTACTTGTGAGCTTGTTTTTCGATGTTAAATCTAGTAATAAAGTCACTTTCCATGTATCACTTCTGTAGAAGTTTGTAGAATTTCCCAGAAAATTCGTTTGTATTTCGATACCAACTCCGGTAATAAAGTCACTATTTCAGTTCAATGAAATTTCATTGATTGTTCCCGCACTAATTAGCTCCAATTGATACACCAATTATCTTGCTAATAATCCCACTAATTAGCTCACACTATTCCAGTAAATATCTTGGCAATTATTTTACTATTGAGCTCAAATTAATGCACCATTAATTATCTTGCTAAATGATCCTACTAATTAGCTCAAATCAATGCACCAATCGTTTCATTAATAATCTCTATTCCGACACTAGGTTGCCACGGATTCCGCGTTCACTAAAACTCACTTCACAAACAGTAACATCTTTTATTCAACTTATTGACTTTATACAAAATTCACTTATCACTTATCGAAACATACACGACAAATATCGAATTGTCTTTTCCCTACAACGGATTTTTTTGTGAAAAATGAGATTCCCTGTCTGCCGTAGGTATGTTTTGTGTGCTGGTGAGATCGTTTTACAATAGGAAAAATCGGGCGCCCTATTTTTATTTAAATTGGAGTAAAAATTAGATAAAAAAAAAGTTATCCATCATCTAACATAGTTATATATAGTCAAACTTTCAGAAACTAATCAAAGATTGCTTTGATTATGAAAACGTACGTCGCATTATTGTTTCTTTATTGGTCAGGATTGTTGACATGACATTTTGACATTAAAGTTCATTGATAAAATTAAAGAAAAATATTGTTCAGACATACGTTTGAAAAACTGTAGCAATCTTTGATTGTTTTTTTTTTGTAGACCCGATACTTTCTAGATAACATTTGTCATTCGGTCTAAATTAGTTCTCAGCAAGGTTCGAGCAGTATCTACCATTTTCAATGACATCATGAATGAAATAGCGTGTCATCTGGGTACTGGCTTCTTGAATTGGAAAGAATGATTTGGTTGTGTTAGAAAATTCTGGGAGGACCAAATCACTCTATCTGATTTGAGACCCTCAATCATCTTGCGCTTGCAAGTGTGCGCCACTTTTTTGAGGAGCTGTGGAGTCTATTTTTATGCAGAAATATATAAAAGTTTCTGTCCATAATATTCAATATCATTCTCCAGTTCAAGATAAAGCAGATGAGGGAGAAACTGATAGAACTTGGTATGCCTCAGAACCCTCTAATTATGAAATAAGAATGGTAATTTGGTCTGAATTTTTTAATTTATGTCTAAACTGTATTAAATTCGTCTTGCAGATGATATTGTCCTCATTTCAGGTAGACTTGGACAGTCAAAGACACAAGACAGTGTAGGCGGATTTCCCGCTTCCGATTTCCGTTCCAGACTGTTGGCGTGCTATGGAGGGGTGGCTTCCTGCTGCGTGAGATCCTCAATCCCCTAATTCAGAAAGAACGGCCTAGCTGCAGTAGGCAATGTAGGCATGGTAGACTAGAATTCTGGATTGGCTTCGTAAGCTG